ATTTGTTATACGGACCAGATAATAAGTCACTACAAAAACAAAAGATGATCCCCCAATGAACCTTATAAAGTTACCGGCAGGTGAGCTATTGGCCACATAAAAGAATCGACCAAAAAGCGTCAAACAATATCCAGTGTAATAAACATAGAAACCAAATATGAGATATCTGTTGAATTTATCGATTAGCGATGGCGAGTAGCTATTATTGCTTTCATGTAAACCGAACGAATGATCATTAAAGCGTGATGATTACTTCTGATTATATGCAAATTGGATTGATAATATTCCAAGTATTCATCAATAACAATGAATACAGATTGTAGATACATGCAAGATTCAATTATAAAATGAACAATTGAAACCCAGGTGAAAATGGAAAGAAACAGTATTCCATGATAAATCATATTGAAATAGTGCAGAGTTGCAAAATCATTTAGCATTGTTTTCGGATCGCTCTTGATGATAACAGACGTACATTCATATACGCACATGAATGCACACATTTTCAATATTGTACTTTGACTTTTAGTTATGTGCTCATTTGCCACAATCGAATTGTTATCGAGTATTTCATTTAATGTCTCCATGAACTGTGCATACAATTTTCGAGCATAAAAGGCGTGAATAAGAACCAAGCAGTTATATCCAATGTAAAATGTATTCAGAAGGCTTTCAAATTTGCCTAAATTGTTGTTCAGTAAATAAAGTGATGAAGAGTCAAATAACACCATATAAGATGCATAAAAAAATCTCACCATGTATATGAGTATCAAAAATGCATGGAGAAATTGTGAAAATCTGTCTTTCTGTAAAATCGCTTTACTAATGATGCTTGATGGACTTGAAATTATCGGCGATTGGTTTCCAATTCTTTCTTCTGGCATGATGTGAAATAATTTCTTTGTCTTAAATTAAAATAAATTAGTTAAATTCGTGAAGATGAATGGCTTTCGATTGTTGAATGAACTATTACCAAGGTTTTAAATTTCAAATGAATCTTCAGGAAAATGTTTTTCAGAAAATATAATTTAGACTTTGGACAAGAGACAGTCAATGATTGATTAATATCTCAAATGCATTGCATAAATAATAAGAAAAGTGCCAAAATGTTATGTTTTTAATATCATCAAAGTAGTCATTTTATAAATAATAAAATTAATTCTGTCAATAGTTGTCAGAAAATGGCACAAAACTAGCATTCAATATTCAATATTTAGGGACAAATCTCAATCAATGGTGAATCAATTGAAGGTAAGACTGTGAAATGTTGCATTAAAAGTTTAACCAGAACAAAGATTCATCACAATAAAAGGAGTCATTCGTCAACATGTCAATGTTAAGGTAGTGCAACCAAAAATTGACACATAAATTGTTTTGCTAATTGTTCAGCAATCAGATTAGTTAGAGAATTATTTTTTTAATTTTCATTAATTGAATCCTAATAATAAGTCATAATACATCATAACTAGCTACTGTTGCTATGTTCATTCTCATGAAATCTTATGATCAGACGAGATTAATATTGTCCGTTTTTCAACAAAAGCTCATACAGAGAACTGAGAATTAAGATTCACCTGAAATAGATTACCAATAAGCACAAATCACCCAAAAAACAGACAAAAAGCTTAATTTGTTTCATCAGCTGGTGAAAGTTAACCTAAAGTTAATATTATATAGTAGTTAAAGTTAGTTAAAGCTAATTGTCATCTATTGATCTTGAAAGACATCATCTTTTACTGAAAACGCATTAAAATGTAAATCGAAGTGATTGAGCGTGTGTAATAACGACAATTTGGACTGATTTGAAATAATATTTTGTATACTAAATGTAATCTAGTCTTGGGTTTCATTGAGAATCTGAAAACCAATGTAAACATGGTTTAATTTGACCGAGTAAGTGTTTGTTTGCATAAAAAATCAGGTTGATTTGTTGAGGGTTTTCATTAAATAAATAACAATTGAATTGACCATATTTAAACAGGAAACTGGCAAAATTAAATTATTAAAAGATTGAAAAGTGAAGGTGAATCATAATGAGATTTAACAATGATCAATGTAGACAGTTAATCAACAAAATTCAGACAACACCCTAATGATTAAATGAAAGCTCAGCAAGCATCCAACAAAATTTGGGTTTAATAAATATCTTTCAACTCTACCGTCCAGATTAGCTAATTGTCCATTTATGCTTAGTTAACCTAAAAAATATTCAATTATCAAACGGAAATATATTCATTCATCTTTGTATTATATTTAATCACAGCAACAAAATCAGCAACTTTTGTAGTTGAATCGTTATAATTTAATATTGCCAGTGAGTCTGATGAGTTTTAAGTCACCGAAGCAAGGTTTAATCACAATTACAGACCAATCAGTAGCAGATTCACTTTCAACCCAAACCTCAACCAGTAACACCGTTTTGCCTTGCTACCATTCGGACCTTAACAATGTTAAAAAATATTATTAATTTTTCTCTTAACTTTCCTATTACAATATTATCAGCAACAATTATGTTGATTGCTCTAACAGATACATTTTTGTTACCCAAAATGACGACCAGATTCTGCTACAATTCACCAGAACCAACCCGAGTCAGCGTAAGAATCTAAATCTTAACCCATTCCAACAACAATCTAATTTCCCAATTTACTAATTGTCTAATTACAGAGTCAATGTGTTTTGTGTAATTACTTCCTATTTGATGCAACTGTAAGTATTCATCTTTTGCTATTTAATCAATTGAAACCCAAATCTTAATCATCTGTTTGTGTTTCAGGTTATGGGCTGTACAGGATCAGTAAGTTAACCTTTACATTTATGTCTATTTCCTTGATTGTGTTTTCATGTTTTTTACAATTTAACTCAATTAGACTGCCTTGAATGTTAACATAACAGCAACACAAGCCTTTTGCCTGATATCACAATGTTTAGGGGTAAGTTTAAGGCATTTACATCGTTTGTTTTGCTAATTTTGTGTTCATTTGTTTTTCCAGCAAATCCGTCAAACGCCAATGTTTTTAGGAAGGAAACGTCGCTCCTTGGATGATGATCAACTATCCATTGATGAGGTTAATCAAGAGAACGAAAATAACCTGATGATTGATGATCTTACCAAATCAAAATCAGATGAAATTCCAGAGATAATTGAATACAATACAGATGGAGTGAAACAACAGTTTGCCATCAAGAAAGATGTTGAAGCAACCGTTATTGATCTAATTGGCTTGGATGAGGATTAGATTCAAATTGCAGACAACTTATTGATTGCAATTCAACTATTTAGTTTCTCGTTTTTCAATCTATCTAATTACTGTCTTGAAATTTAAACAAAATTAATGTGAAATTTAAGAGGGTAAACAATTCATTTTTGCATTTCATTGAACAAATGTTATCAAACTTGCTTTATTTATCTTTTATGACACTCTGTAAGTTGATTACTGCATCACTTTGA